CCACACACACCACCACACGACACACACACGCACGCACGCACACACACACACGCACGCGCGCCACACACACACCCACCCACGCACGCACGCACGCACGCACGCACGCACGCACACGCACACGCACACACACACACACACACACACACACGTGACACCAATGCACGCACGCACGCACGCACGTACGCACGCACACATGAATGCACGCACGCACGCACACACACACGTGACACCCATGCACGCATGCACGCACGCACACACACACACACACACACACACACACGCACACGCACCTCTACGTCATCGTGGTGAGGAGCCAGACCCTGCGATCCGTCGCCATGCGTCACGTACGCGTTCGCGCCGACCAGGCACCCGAAGTACCCCTCCAACTTCTCCTGCATCCGCCACAGATCCTCGCAGAATCGCTGCGGCTGGTGGAACTGCACCGTAGCCCGCTCCTCCACCGCCGCCCGCGCCACGTCCGCCGCCACCAGGTCGCGCCGCTCTCCGTCGACGTAGCGGCACGCGACAAAGTCGCGACCCGGGATGAGGTCGAGAGAGGGGTCGTGGAGCAGCTCCGAGAGGCGAGCGCGGCCGAAGAGGCGAGAGTAGCAGTCGTGAAACCTCTCCCTGTGGGTATGACCGCGAGAGAGAGTGTGCGTTCGTTAGGTACTGGCAGGGGTGAATAATGAATGATGGTGAATATTTGTCGTTATATGTCATTCATTTGTTATTAATTATCTGTCATTAATTTGTCATTAATTTATTATTAATTACTTGTCATTAATTTGTTATTAATTATTTGTCATTCATTTGTTATTATTCACTCCTGATACTGGCAAACACTAGTGTGGCTAACACTGAACAAATAGTTAGTAGTTATGTAGTATAAATATATATAACTACTAACAATTATATATATATATCTCCTGATATATATATATATATATATATATATACATATATATATAATATAGTAGTTGGGACACTGCTTGGGTGTCCAGTGGTTAGGTGTGTGAGAGGGTTAGGTTGTGTTGTTAGATATAGGTAGAGCAAAAAGCGTTTTCTAGCTGCAAAAGGCGATTTTCATAAACACGTGTCTATTATAATCAGGTGTTTGTTATATAGAGGTATCTGCTAACAAGGGTAAACAAGAACATTGTACATATACATGTGCATTGTACATGTATATGTACATTTTAACAATAACATTGTACATGTACATTGTAACAAGAACATTGTACACATACATGTACATTGTACATGTACATTTCAACAAGAACATTGTACATATGCATCATACATGTGCATTGTACATGTAGATTTTAACAAGAACATTGTTACCGTACGTACATGTACATTTTAACAAGAACATTGTGCATGCATGTACATCATACATGTGCATTGTACATGTACATTTTAACAAGAACATTGTTCATGTACATTTTAACAAGAACATTGTACATGTATGTACATCATACATGTGCATTGTACATGTACATTTTAACAAGAACATTGTACATGTATGTACATCATACATGTGCATTGTACATGTACATTTTAACAAGAACATTGTACATGTACATCATACATGTACGTTGTACATGTACACTTGTAAGAACATTGTACATGTACACATATATGTACATTGTACATGTACACTTGTAAGAACATTTTATATGTACATGTGCCTTTGCACTATTAATTCTTTTTGTTTTTAATAACATAGGTGATATAAATAATTTTAGCCCCAAAACAGTTTCGTATACACATGTATTGTTTTCAATAGGACAAACAGGAACGAATAAGACGAATAATAATTTTTTAATCTCACCCCCTATTAGTCAGTATCATCGGTTTCTTCTCCCAGTACTCCTCGAAGAATGTTTCCACCGTCGTCGGGGCGATGAGAGAAGCGAACATCTCTTGCGGACTGCTGAAGTCAAAGCAACCACCAGAGGGAGCTTCGTTCGCGGGGTCGACGCGTTTAGCTCGTTTGAGGGCCGGGGACGTGGCGTCGCCCGCACCACCGTTTGTCTCCGTCGCGGGCGCATCTCTCTGCAGCAAGTAAGTAACTGATTCGTTAGATGTCTGAACATCTGTGAACGGTCTGGTGATTATGTGATCTGCATGACTGTCTTTGTTAATATAGAAAGTGAAAGTGCTGTTGTTAAGTAAGTCGATACTGATGATAGATGACTAAGATGTGTTAAGATGACTAAGATGTGTAACTGGCGCTGGCTGCCAGCGCCAGTTAATATAAGCGGGCTATAGTACTAGAGCTAGTGAGTTGGGTGAGTAGGGGTTGGTGAGTGTTACTGTACATACTTGCTGAGCCTGACTGTTCAGACATGTCACTTAGAATCGTAATGTATGATGCGTTTACCTTTCCTGTAGCACTCATAACTTTCTCTTCGCCGTCTGTAAGCATGCAGTGTAAACTCTTTGTTATTTAAACTCCTACCTAACACGTAATAACCGCTGTAGCCTGTATAACCGATCTTAGATCCTCCACCATGCGAATCATGCATACCATGTGCCGGTAGAATAGATTGGCTCATGACCGTTATGAATTAACTGTTTTAGCTTATAAAGTATTAACGGGTGCCAGTCTATAAATGTAACAATAATATTGCACATCATCATGATCATGCATATTATTTTGATTGATTTGGTTTATTATTTGACTTTAGAACATCAGTATAAATTATTATAACTATATTTTACTTGTTTAGACACAGCCGGTGAATAATCTATGGAAAAAACGATGTTTTCACGAAAGTGTTCATAAAAGAGGTAACGGCGCATTGGGCATCATGGCTGCCTCCGTTTGTTGTTGTTGAAAGAATTCAGTTTATATCCCATTTATATCGTGTTTGTAGATCACCGGTTAACCTTAGTTCTTAAATACTATAAGAGATTATGGGTGGGCCTATGGAGAGATTGCAACAGTTAGAGAGCATCGAGAAAGATATTGGAAATGTTCTACAATGCGCAGGTACCGTACCGGCGTACGGCGTACGTCGTTGTTTCTAAATTCTAGTTTTGTTTTGGTTCTGTCACTTCACTTGTCGCAGCAGCGCTGTTTGTAGCTTGGCCAGCGGCAACCATACGCGGGCTATAGTTACTAGAGCTACGCTGTTTGGCATAGAAAGTTGCTATATATAATATTATTTTATACCCCCTTGAGTTTGCTTGTGTTGGTGTAGTCTTGCTAAACTATGAAACAGGTATTCACAGTGGTGCAGCGGGCCCAAGGATAGAGAACATGGGTCCCAATAAAACCAATGTGCCTAACCCTATTACCATAACCCTAATTCTAACCCTAACCCTAACCATAACCATAACCCTAACCTATTATATTGATATAATATTATGTTTATATTGATGTAAATGACATTGGTTTTATTGGGACCCATGTTCTCTATCCTTGAACCGTGCAGCGTACCTATTTAGTTAAAAGCTGTTGTAAATATTGAATGGGCACTAAATCAGTAAATGAGGTACCGGGGTACATATTTTTAAATTTCTGTATTTATTTGTTTTGTAACTTAGGAACAGCACTGCAGGAACTTTCCAAAGACAAGCCTAGTATGAAACAAGTTGAAAGCCACACGTCCAGTTTTCTGAAGACCTTGGAAATAGTCGAAAGTGGATTGTCGAAACAAATTCAGTATCTCACTCAGGTTTCTACAGGTTTGTGTTACTTTCAATATGACTTACAGACAGACAGATTGCAACTTACACTGTACTTGCATTGAGAACTAAACCCATGTGATGTGCTAATACGTTTGCATACGCACAAATATTTCTACATTTATGGTAAAGTTTAGAAGAAATAAACATTCAAGGAAAAAATAGACATTATAATATTAGAGTTATCATAATAATATTACACGTGTTATAAATAAATAAATAAATAAATTATAAATAGACATACTATTACATATATCGTTATAAATAAATAATAAATAAACATCATACTATTACACGTATAAATCGAACTCGGTTGTAATCTTGCAGGTCAGTCGCACGAAGGTTCTAGCTACGCCGCGCAAAAAGAACTGCAGATGGCGCTGCACCGGCTGGAGCATGCGAAAAGCCGCGTCCTCGACCTTGAGCGTGTGTCGGCGCGCCACGTCCCACTGCAGCCGCCCGCGCCGCAGCAACCGTCGACGCCCGCCTCGGCTGAGATGTAACCGTGATGACGACGTGGCATGTTGAGATCGTGTCGGTAGCTACGTTCCACGAGTCTTCAGTGTGGAACTTTACGCTTCGCTGTCAGGTGTGATACGCACTTGAAGCTAGCGAACAGTTGTGGATGTTGTTGGAGTGCCCGCGGCAGAGATGTAACGGTGACAGTGACGACGTGTGATCGTGATATTGTAAAGGCTTGCCAGTAGCTAAGCCTACGCGCCACGAGTCTTCAGTGTGGAACTTTACTCTTCACTCTCAGGTGAGGTGTGATACGCGCTTGAAGCCAGTGAACAGTTGTGGGTGTTGTTAGAGTGGCCGCGGCAGAGATATAGCGTTGACGACGACGAACGTTCAACGGTGACGGTGAGAGATCGTGAAGTCATAGACGCTTGTGGTTGTCTTTGCTCCACGGCACTTTTCTACGTGTGATACCCGCCAGGAGCCGGAAAACAATTGTGCGTGCTTTCACACTGTCCGTCGTAGCGGCCTGACTCTCTGTCTACATATACGTACACGGCCAAAGACAGAAAACAATTGTGCGTGCTTTCTGACTGTCCGTCATAACGGCCTTACTCTTTGTCTACGTACACGTACACGACCAAAGACAGAAAACAATTGTGAGTGCTTTCTGACTGTCCGTCATAACGGCCTGACTCTTTGTCTATGTATACCTACACGGCCAAAGACAGAAAACAATTGTGCGTGCTTTCTGACTGTCCGTCATAACGGCCTTACTCTTTGTCTACGTATACGTACACGGCCAAAGACAGAAAACAATTGTGCGTGCTTTTAGACTGTGAGTCGAACCTGAACTTATTTGCGTGTCTCAAACTGTTGACAATTCCCATTCACAGAGAGAGAGAGAGAGAGAGAGAGAGATAAGAGAGAGAGTGAGCATCTTTCTCTATACCTTCCTTTGTTCTCTTACTGCCACCTCCTCCCTCTCACACCACCACCCTCTTCCCCCTCCTCCTCTTCCTCCCTCCCTCCCTCCACCCCTCGGATGTACCGCGATCCGCCCCCATCTTCCGGCATGTTCTTCACGCTCCGCGAGATCGTCAAGTGGCTCGGCCTGACCTCCTTCGAGATCCTCGCCCACCTCCTCTGCGCCCTCGCCGCCTCCGTCCTAGCCGCGCTCAAGCACGCCGGCCTCCTCCCCGGCGCCACCTGGTGGCACGCGCTCGCGCCGCTCTACGTGTGCGACGGCGTGAACGCGTACTTTGCGGCGATCGTGCTCGTGCGCGCGTACGTGGAGCAGGAGGCGCCGCGCGGCGCCGCGTTCCGCACGGCGTGGAGCCTCACCGTCATCGCGCTCCTGTTCGTCTTCAAGCTTCTCGCGTGCCAGCGGGCCGAGGACGCGGCGCCGCTGTCGCACGCCGAGGTGATGTCGCCGCTCTTCATTCTGCTCACGATGATCATGATTCGCGCATGCCAGGTACACTGACGCGGCTGCGCGGCGCCCCCTGGTGCACTGACGCGGCTGCACGGCGTGGCGGCGAGCGGAGGACGCGGCGGCGCCCCCTGGTGCGCTGTCCACGCTCAGCGTGTATACGTGATCAGGAATGGCCTAATGGACTGACGCGGCCACGTGGGTTAGTGGCGCCACATGGTGTATGAGGGTGCCTTGATTTATACATGATCGGGGATTCCAACGGTGAATGATGAGTGTTGGATGAGGGCCTGTGCTGACGAGTTGTGCATGGTGGGGGGGGCAGATGCACAGGTTATGATGGTGTTGCACTACCTTAGAACTGCCGACATCCCCTCTATGTACTAGAGTGTGAGGCTGTTACAATGATGGGTTGCACTCCCTGCTGGTTACATCCCCCCCACTGTACCAGGGTTGAGGCTGTTACAATAATAGGTTGTACTCCACTCCCTGTTGCTAGAATTCACCTGCACTACGGTCAGGGGAAAAAATACACGGGGGGGCGGGCGATTTCGCCCCCCGAAATGCCAAAAAGAGCCTCCGAAAACATGATATCGGGGGCGACCCCAAAAGAAAAAGTCGCCCTGGAAATTGATTGTCCAGGTAGGTCCCGCGCCTTGCCGCTCTCGCTCGGCGTTGCTGCGCTGCGATGCCTAGGCCTATGCCGCTAGCGGCA